TACTAAAGTAACAAATATCCAAATTTATTGCAAAGTGCGAAGAGTGACGGGATAAGTATTTGTTAGAGGAAGAGGAGAGAAAAATGGAAATTATGCAATGGACATAACCTATAAAAGCATATATTGAGAAGTAGTTAGGAATTGAAGGAAAGAAAATACATAGTAGTTACAAAACTGCTGAACGAAAGGTGAAAGGGTGGATGGATGTTCAAGAGCAGAGAAAAAGATCTCAAATTACTAGAAAGTGGAAGAAAAAAATTTAAAAGAACAAACAATGGTTTTTATTATTATTCTTATCGGTTTTAATAATTTCTGTATATGTATTTGTTTTGTTTGCAAGCGGGAGTCATGAGCCAAATTCAGCTTTTCAATTCAACAAGATCGCTTTAATTTTTTTATAACTTTTTTAACAAATGTCTTTATTGTACTCTGTTATTAAGATAGTCTGCAATAAATTATACGTCGCCATTACCGGCGTTACCGTGTTTTGTCAGCAATTTATCGCAGTCCATATTCCATAATTTTCGTAAAATGTTTTTATTTTTAAACCTATAGATTACCGAAAAGCTGATGGTTTCAACTGATTTACAGTTTGTGTTTTGTACATTTGGCATACATAATCAACTCATTCCATTAGTTGTATATAGGGACAATAATTGAATTAGATTATAAAAATTGTGTCATTCGGAAAAGCCAATAGAATATATCGAGACATGGCGATATTCAGAGTTGCAAAATTGTTGTTGCTTTTAGTGGTTGCATTACTTTGCTGCCAAAAGGCAGTTTTTGTTGAAGAAGTGGCTCAAAAAGCTATTGGGTAAATTTTCCCTACAGCAATATTTCATATTTTATCAATCCAAGTATTGCACGTTTTTTAAAAATTGATGAAAGATCTCTTCAAAATTAAACAAGATCACGGCCAATTTTTACGCTAAATGGATTAAGCAAAATGTTTGGAGGTTTTCTAGGTTCTTTGCGAGAACTGCTGTGCCGTCAAAGTATCTGATATTGTTGATCGTTTCTCGCCTATTTTTTCATCTTCTTTTCTGTCTTCCAATGCTTCTCTGTTCTTCTAAGTGTTGAAGTTGGTGATAGGACACAGCCTTGTCGAACTCCACGTTTAAGTCCATATATTGAAAAAGTGGTTAGATTTGTACTGGCTGAAAAGCTTTTTCAAAATCGATGTAACAGACTTAGACATTCTTTTGGGAACTCACGCGCCTATAGAATAAAGCCTTCATAGTCCCCAAGTCAGTTCTATATCCAATTGTTTTTCACTTACATTACATTCGCATTAAAGGAATATCCGGTTTCGTATTATTCGAATAAAGATTTGAAATGTGTGAGTCACCAGACCAATAAGTCTAAAATTATTATTACATTTAGTGGGTCTACTCTTCTTAGGAAATGTTATAAATAGCTATTCTAGCCAATAGTCTTGTACTTTTCCGTCATTGACACAAGCAGTAAATGTCTCCTCGATCGGCATCGTCAGAGAGATAAATGACCTATTTTTGGATTTTTAATTCCGGAGGTGTAATGAGTTTTTTATGAACATGTTTTATTCAGGGTACTACTTTTTTACAGCAGTTTTGCAGCTTATTTTCTTTAAATTACTTAATTTCTCTTTTTATCGATTTATTGATATGACGCTATTTGAAAATGATTTAATTTTAATAATTTTCAGGGTTCCATGGAGGAGAAGTCCAATGGTGGTCAAACGGCAGACGTTAATTATAATTATCAATTATATTTATTATTAGTTATAGATAAAAAGCAACAAATTAGGGTCCTACATACTTGCGATAAGAAGACCAAGCTGGATATATTGAAACATTTCAATATCCGGAAACATACCAGCTCTGACGTTAGATGCAATAACAATGCATGTTTAATAGAACGGTAGAAAGTAAATAACCTTTCATTGAAAATCGAGATCGTGGGGGCACATCTGACACTGGAAGGTAATTTATTAAAACATTTTGAGGCCTGGTACGTAAAAGAACATTGAAATAAGGTTGTACGATGCTTAGGTACCCTAAGGAGTTCACGACTACGAGTTAGCCTGTTATGGGTATGGACACCTCTAACCAACTTTTCATATAAATAGATAGGTTCGCGATGGAGTAGAATTTTATATAAAAAACGGCAAAAGTTAATTTCAAACCTTTCTTGTATAGTAAACCATCCCGAGTTAATGAAATTTTGACTGATATGATCGAATTTCCGCAAACCATATGCAAACCTCAGACAAGCATTCTGCAATTTTTGGAGCGAATCTCTTTCCCTCTGAAATAAGGCCGGCCAATAAACTGAAATACAATAATTAATATGTGACAAAACCAGAGTATCACAGAGTTTCAATCTTTTGCTTGTATCAAAGACGTCCTTAGGCAAATATAAGAGCTTAAGTTTGTAAAAACATTTCTGAACTATGTCAGAGACATGATCCAGAAAGCGCAAATCACAATCAATCGTTAAACCTAGATTTTTGCACTTATTAATCGGACTAATAATGGTTCCGTTTAGGTTTACTATAAAATCATTATTACTAACAATCTCCTCCCGACGCCGTCCAAATACTATCAGTTGTGTTTTTGTATCGTTAAGTTTCAATCCATGGGCGGCGGAGACTCGACTGACGATTTCAAGATCTTCATTGAGCCTTGCAGCGACTTGATCCAGATCATTCGATTGGAAAGAATGATAAAGCTGAGTGTCTTCCGCATATTGATGTGTCTTACAGTGTTTGAGAAAACTAGGAAAGTCGGACGTGTATAAAGAAAAGAGTATAGGTCCCAAGATACTCCCTTGGGCTACGCCCTCTGATACAACACAAAACTTGGACGCTTCGCCAGCCAATACGACACTATGAACGTGATTTGCAAAGTAGTTTTTAAAAAAATTTAAAGTTACATCACCGAGACCAAAATATCTAAGCTTAGCAATTAAAACTTTATGAACAACGGTGTCGAAAGCCTTGCTATAGTCCAGTAGAATTAAACAAGTGTTTTCGAAGTTGTTGTGAGCTCTAAACAAATCATCCACAATTGTCAGCAGAGCGGAGGCAGTACTGTGGTTAGCACGAAAGCCTGACTGAGTGCATGGAAGGAACCCTCTGTTCCTCGAAAAGGACATCAACTGTCTACAGACTATAGACTCCAATACTTTCGACATTGTAGACAGTATAGTAATAGGACGAAAGTGTGATATGTGCCTAGGAGAAGTGCGTTTGGGAACGGGCACCACACGCCCACTTTCCAGGCTGTCGGAAAGTTACCGGTAAAGATACATTTGTTCATAATATATGTAATGTGAAGGTTCAAATATGGAATTAGATAGAGAAGCATTTTCAAACTCACACCATCAGCGCCAACAGCATTGCTCCTAAAGCCCAAGATTATTTTCTCGACTTCCTCTAAGGTAACCGGTTCAAAATCTAAACGGACACCATGATTTCCCAAAAATTTATTAGCATAAGTGTGTTCAATAAGCGAATCATAGCGATTGGGGTTTTTTCGCATTGCTAACATTAAGATATTTTAGAGTTTTCTAAAAATTATTTTGATCATGCTGAAAAGAATATTTCAAGTAGGCTTTCTTTTCATTTTTAACTGCCATATTTACCCAGTTTCTTAACGTTTTGTACTCATTTCTTGCGATTTAGGAGTTGCTCTTTTTATACCTTGACAGAGTCTTGTTTCTCAGTCTCATCATCATCTTTAAATTGTCGGTAAGCCATGGAGCCGGAGCCTTAGTAATTTTGGAAGTTTTTAAAGGAGCACGTTTTTCGAACAGCTTGAGAACTTTATCATTAAAGAAATCAACCATAAGATCGGTAGCATCAAACAAATAAATACAGTCCCAATTAATAAGATGCAAGTCTGCTAAAAAGGTGTTATAATCGAAATGAGAGAAATCCCTATAAGTTTTGAAAAACAGAGCTTGTTTAAATTTAGTAATTTTGATAGTACAAAAAACTAAATGATGATCAGACACCGGAGTCATATCCAAAACTCCTGGATTACAGACCACGTCAGGTGCGGAGGATATAATTATGTCAATCAAGGTCCGAGAGGTCTGTTTCACTCTGGTAGCCAGGTTAATATGCTGTGAGAGATTGTATTTGCTTAACAATACTTTAAATAAATTAAAAGCCGGGTTGTCACAGTTCAAGAAATCGACATTAAAGTCACCTCCAAAAATTACGTAGTCAAATTGAGGTAGAAGATTGATTAAACTATTTCCTAACGAATCTAAGCTTTCGTAAAGATTTGCATCCGACGGTCTATAAAGGGAACCAAAGCACATTTTTCTGCCAGAACTATTTGTACTAATCCACATCTGCTCAAGGTTGCTATTATCATTGTCGTCAGTATCAACGACCTTGTATCTAATACCACGTTTGATATAGAACGCGACGCTCCCGCCTTTACGCAGGCGATCTTTTCTGACCAAATCAAATCCATCACACATCGGAATCCCAAACAACAATAAGGACAACAATATGGTTTATGACTAGTTTCAGTTTTGTGTAAGACATATAATGCTGAGACAGCAAGAGCAAATGCAACCGGAACGTGGAAGGTACTTAAAGTGGATGTCAGAAGTTGAGCGAGAGAGAACAGTGCAACCTAATAAGAGGGTGGCGGAGGTCAATAAAAGATAAGGGTGAATGGTATGAAAGGGAAAAGTAATAGGAAAGAAATGGATATGCCAGTGCCGATAGAAATATTGCGAAGACAATGAATGGGGTCATGTAGAGAGGAGAAAGAAAGCGCGAAAGGGGGATGCAAAAATATATATATTTTATTTTTTATATTATAATTATACTTATAGTATTTATTATTATTCCTAGCGATTTGCAAAAGCGTGTTTCTATGGATGTGTTTACAATTACCGTTGACTCTTTGCCTTCAATAAATTGCATTTTGACATTACAGTGGCAGTGGTAAAATATAAACAAAACATATTAACTGAATTTTGTCGCATAACAACACGTTTGCGCCTTATCGCGATTCGAACTCCATAATTTTTGCAAATATTTTAGTTCCGAAACATAATTCACCTAATAGATATTCAAGTAATTACCTTCAGATCTATATATGTATGCTAATTGGAGTGGCTATAACAGACGTTGCATTTGGATTGAAGCCCGTTACAATTTACTGAGACATGGCGATTGTCAGAGCTGCAATGTTGTTGCTATGTTTAGTGAGTCTACTGCTTTGCTGTCAGCAGGCAGTTTTTGCGGCAGTACCTTATCGACAAGCTAATGAGTAAGTTTTCTCTGATCCAATATTTTAAATTTTATCCAAGCATTATACATTTGGCAAACCTCGATGCCGTGAAGATCACGAGTTTTTTTTCATTTCGGGATACATTACTAAAACGATTTTAAGGAGTCTGAAAGGCAGCTAAACCATTGCAAATTTTACATACCATTTCTTCAAAACCAATTCCAGTACGTTTTTGTTCGTGATCACATTTAACACCTTGGTCCATAGGAACAGACTGGTATAATTTAACAAGCGGTTAGAAATATTTCCGGAGTATTAACTATAGTGGCACTCGTTAGAAACCCGATGTCGAATTAAAGTCCCTACAATAATTTTATGTTGATGCTAATGTGCAGCAAAATTTAAGTACACGAAAGAACAGCGTTTAAATTTTCACATTGAGAAAAGTTTGTATATCTTTAGTGAACAAATATTTTCATCTTTATAAAAAATGAAAAAGCGATACATGGAAAAGTGTGGCAAATTAATATAATGCTACACAAAAAACAAGGAAGAGAAAAGCAGCGCAGTTAAACACTACCTATGAACAAATAAAAACACTGCAACTGCCGGCAGGCGAAGAGAAACTAAGTCCCTATATGTGTGATACACTTTATTTTATTTTTTAATTTGATTTTTAGAGCATTTATATCCCTACGTTCATTTAAAGTTGAAATCAACTTTTTGTTTTTTAGAAATTATTAAAGAAAAATATTTTTTGTATCAACAATCAAAATTTACAGTCAACTGCCGAATTTGAAACAACAAAAACAGCTACAGGCATCAGAAGCAACAATAATCAACCAGTGTTATTCAAAATCAAAAATTTGGTTTATTTTGGTTAGTTAGTATTAATTGCTAGTTCCAATGATCAATGTTTTCCAATTTTTAAATTCGGTCTCATTACGTTCATTATAAAATCATTGCTTTCACTTATTATACATTTTGTTGGTGGGGTCTCTCTATCACTGCTTGAATCAGAGCTGGAGCTGTCCAACAAGTTATGAAAGTTAGCTCCGTCCATTAACGAAAAAAACAAATCCCTAAATTTTATAAGAAAAACGTATAAAAGGAAGCCCGACAACACTGGAAATTACAAAAAAATATTTTCAAACAAAACAATTTATCTGGTTTCTCAGCTATGTTCTGCTCTCTGTGCAAACGCGTTTATGAAACTTTTTGCATAATATACTATTAGGTAATAGTACATCTTTGTTTTCAGTGCTCTGGTTGATTCCAATCTGGGCGATGATCTCCTGTTAGATGCAGGGAGCAAATAGATGTGTTATAAATGTAAAATAAAAGATTGTTTGAAATGCTTCTTTTTATTTGATAATTGATTAGTTTGTTTTTGCAAAGTTTGCAACTGGACCAAAATTGGACACCAAATATAATTTGCGACAACTATTGATCAATTTTTCAGGTATGGCGAACTTAGAAATATGTCAAGAGTTTGAGCGAGAATGGTTAGCGTACACGCAATAAACTAAAAAAATGACTATGATCTTACGTATGGGATACCATACCGCGATTGCGCGAAATTTGAAGTGAAGTTAACTCCTTCAGTCTCGGAGACCTGGGGCCCAGAAGCAGAACACCAGCAGCTAAGAGAAAGTACCACTCAATTTAATCGATGGACATAATGTTGTACAAGGGGAATAATTAAATTCCAGCAAGCTTACAGCGTACCGTGAGTTTTCGAACCTCTGGGTGCAGACAACTATGTGAAATTGTTAGAAAATTTATTAACAGCTTTAAAAATATGGTTTGTGGCATGTCAATCAAAATGTATTACCGTCTAAATTCTTTTGGAGAGAACATCGAAAACGCGAGCGAGGTACATGGGAAAAGAAAATGGATATATAAATTCGTTTTCCTACTCCCTTCTGAAAAATACCGATACTTATACACCGATCTAGTGTACGGAAAGCGTCACTTTATCACGTGAGTTTCTTGTTCCGTGAATCTGAGCCCCTTAGGATATTTCCGGGATATTATCGCACGGCTTTGGTAGCAATGGTATGTTTTCGGAGGTCTTACCTCAAGGCTGTAAATTCTGATGGTCATCTCAGTGAATGTATTCGTGTATAGTATTCAACACGTTTGGTAAACTTTTTAAGTCACTCGTTTATTAAAAAAAATAAACTTGTGAGTCAAATGCCGTTTATCGCACTTCCATATATGGACGCCCTGATGCAACGCTATAGAAACGGTATATACACGATCTAAGTAGTCTAAATTAAAATTTTCAGAAGGACGATCATAGTAAACTGAATTTTCTTGTATATTGTTAGTTCAACTGTATACCCGGTAGAGGCACGTGACCCAGTCTCTGTATATTTTACAAGATGTATTCTAGATTCAGCTCGTCGATTTCCAGGCGTCCTTTGCGCGTTTGTTACGTGGCAACGCTGTCACCATTAACTTTCCAGACTGGAGCGAAATTGTGGGATAACGGGTCTGCATCGCCCAGTTGTTTTGTTTTTCATATTGAATAAAATCGATTAGCGCTCCATAGTGCGAACATGTAGAGACCATGGAAATAGAGAATTTTATTTCTTTTACCACAAATTAAGAAATACGCTAAGCTGGAATTAACGTAAACGTAACAAAAATACACAAGACTTTTTTCTATAAAAAATTAAATAATTAAGAAAAGTTTATTTTCGAAATGTGTGGTAAAGAATTCAAAATCTACAAAAATCATATTTACATCCTACTGCCAATGCCGTACTCTTTATGTGATGGTAGATGTTAATAATATTACAATTTAAAACAATATTGTGTGCAACACGTCGGTAAACTCTTTCTTTTTTTTTGTTTGCTTTCTTCGTTCTGAGAAAATCCGCTCATTGCATAAAGTTATTCGTTTTTCAACTAGTTGCAAAAATTTTTTTTCCTTAATTCAATGAACTCGCGTCTGTCTTTACTTAGACGGCTGATTAGATTGAAGTAAGTCGTTAAAGTCGGACAACAATGCAACAACACCCAAGGCTCCAGGTGGGAATCGAACCTACAACCTGCTGCAAGTCGACTTGGAAGTTCTAACGACTTACCAACCGAGCCATCCTCGATCACTTAAAAAAAAATTCTTTTTTTATTTAGTTGCACAAATTGCTATTTTTATATTATTAAATTATTATTGCATTATATAAATCTGCAGCTCCATTAAGCAACATTATTAAAATAATGTTTTAACTAATCAAAGTGGCAAAAAGTTTTGGTTTTTTATGTGCGAATATTATGAATCTTTTTTTATTTTTGGGTACATTTTTAGAATTATCACTTTCTTCCGATAATTTCTGCTAAGTACTATTTAGAGCGGTGTTTGAAATATTAAAAATATCGAATATAAATATTTATATTATAGAAATATTCAATATAAATTAAAATATCATTTGCTAAATACTTATCTAAATAATTGGGTAAGAAAGTATTTTGATTTTATCGTCTAACAATATTATATTAATATTAATATTAGTATGTCGCCTATTAAAGTCCCCAACTTATAAAAACTATTTTAAACTATTTTATTGAACGATTTAAGTTTTTGACTTTTGCTTTTAAGCAAATCAAAGTAAATGTGAAAAGTAACAGTTCTATATTTTAGTAAAATTTATCATTTTGAAATGAACTTTGATAAAATTTATTCGATAAAAGTGTTTTTTTTAATAGTTATTTTTCTTCATTGTGCCCTAAGATATAAATAAAAATAAAGTTGAACAAGGAATGAGAGGGATAAAAAGTAAAGTACGGAATACTCAATAATGTGTCACCACTGCCACCGATAAAAATTTTGATATATTACTTTTTTTAATGTACCTAAACGTAAGTCGTAACAATATTTTTCTAAATATAGTCTCCAAACGCATAACTAGTTGAACTAAAGTATATTTTTAGGTGAATTTCGTCATATTCTCCATAAACTTTTGCCTCGGGATAAAAAGTGTCTCTTTAGTTCCTTGGATACCATCTAAATTTTTTTCCCAAATTCATTTAAAAAAATCTCCATTTCAAATTCCTGCTCTAAAATACCCATTATACAGTGTGGCTTAAAGACGTTACCTAGGCCTGCGAGTCACTTCGGTGATATATTAGCCAGGGCTTTGGTTTGTCAATTCTGATGGTCAAGGTAAGCATAAAGTATGCAACTTCTTCAGCCACTCATTTATTAAGCACTCGCTCCATTCGCCCCAAATAAACTAATATGACGTTTATCAAATTTGTTTAGCAAAGATTTTTGAAGATTTTTTTTTAAAGGAAACTTTCACACAATAATGTAAGACTATTTACAAATATTTTGCATTCTACCTGCGTCGGTGGTGGATAAATCGAACTTTCTGACGTTTCGCCAACCATCCTGGAGATCTCACAGCTGCTCTTGTTCATAAATTTGACCGTTACAAGAAAAATATGTTCCAGACAAGCATTTTTCAATTCACTTGAATAGGTTTAATTCCAGATTCCCGAATTGCAATATATCTGAAAGGGCTATGTCAAAACTAACCAGAGAAACAGAACAAAAAGTATACAACTATGACAGATAAAGTCATAAGCAGTTCCCGAAAACAATAATGAAACCGCAAGCTCATTCGATCAAATTAAAAATTAATCAATGTAATCAATTCTTCTACCCGGAAATATCCGAGAATCTATAGAAATGTATAAACAACCAAACAACCTTAACCGCGACTCTGGTTTTCACCAATATTGAAATCTGAGACAATGTTCATGTCCCTCTGTTAGCACCGCCTCTCTCAAACAGTATATACGTGGATTCAGAATAGAATGTGAGCAAGCTTCACTTAAGCTCTGAAGAAGCTATCAGGATGATTGGCGAAACGTCAGCTAGCTTTATTTATAAACAAACGATGCAGTTGCCTCTGTTCTTTATAATTTTATAAAAATTTGAAAAATCCTTATTTTTATTAAAACTAAAATAGTAACTTCTAATTATTCCTCCTAAACATTCCAAATAACTAACGTCGATCCATTTTAGACCAACATTAAACACAAACAACACAGTAATATGATGCCTCAGTTGGCCTCGTAAAAGAAAATAATTGAAAATGACATTAATTTCTAAATTAACAGTTTTTAATAATTTGGTACAATAATTTATTACTCTGCAAATAAGTCAACCGCCAAGAACTTAGAAAACAATTTTAAAAATGCTTGTCTGGAACATATTTCTCTTATAACGGTCAAATTTTTGAACAAAGCCTTTGGAGGAATGCTCTCTACACTTTCCATCGAAAACCAAAATTATGGAAACGCTACGTCGAAGATACTTTTGTTATTTGGCCTCATGGTCAAGAAACCCTAATAGATTTTCTTAGACATTTTGACTCTATACATCCTAACATACGTTTTACCATTGAGTTGGCAACTAATAATTACCTTCCATTCTTAGGTATCCTTATCAACAGAAAATTAGATCTAACATTGGGTCATTGTGTTTACAGAAAACCTACGCACACCGACCGATACCTTAATGCATGGTCACATGACCATCCGGCCCAAAAATCATCGGTTATCAACTTTCTTATTTACAGAGCCGTAAAACTATCTCAGCCGAGTCACTGAACCCAGAATTGAATCACTGGCCACATATCAAAAGTTCTAAAGAAGTATAACGTCAAAATCAGATTTACCACTTGTCCAAAATCTCTCGACATCTTCGGTCCATCAAAGATAAAATTCCATTTGAGGTGCCAGGACTTTACGGCATTCCATGCATATGCGGCAAAGAATACATTGACGAAACAGGACAAAAAATATCAACTAGACTCAAAGAACACGAAAGAGCCTTACGACTAAGACAAATAAACTCATCAGCTGTTGCTAAAAACAATCACGAAACCGGACTTAAAATTTTATTCGATAAAACTTGCATGTAATCAATTCTTCTACCAACGAAAAATCCGAGAGTTTATAGAAATCTATAAACAACCTAACAATCTTAACCGCGACTTAGGTCTTTATCTGTCACCCATATGGGAATCAGTCATCCGAGACGGTGTTTATGCCCCCTATTTAGCTCCGCCACCCTCAAACAATATATAAGCAGGTACAGAGTAAAATGCGACCCAGTTTCAGTGAAGCTCTGAAGAAGCCAACAGGATGATTGGCGAAACCTCAGCAATTTCGACTCGATTCTTTGAAAAATTAATATTAGTATTTATTTTCAATTATTAACTTTATATATATATATATATATATATATATATATATATATATATATATATATATATATATATATATATATATATATATATATATATATATATATATAATAAATAAAACTTCGATACAGAACAGATAGAGTCAAGTTACTGAGCTGAGATTGTACAAAAGTTCGGAGCATTATTAGATTTGGTATCAGAAACAAATTTCATTATTATTTATTTAAAAAATGTTGCCCAAGTAAATGGTCACAATATGCACTACAAAATTTATCATTCCAAATTCTATTCAACTCGCAGATCCATTTTATTTTCGAGCAGCCGAAATAGACAGGCTTATTGTGGCAGATTCGTATGTTGATTTGATATTGTCAGGAGTTATAAAATTGGCAGAGCTGTCCCGGTTTTGCAAAATACCAAGGTTGGTTAGTTTGCGCTTGTGCTAAAACGAGGTGCCGTGGAAGCTTAGTAATCTAAACATTTGGATATTTATGCATATGATTAATCATATAGAGTCGTTAATACCAGTTTTTCCAACTCGAGGAGATTTCAAATATAAGCTATGTCTCAGCAAATCAAAATCTCTGTGAACGACTTTTCACTGATCCTGTGAAACGATTGGAAAAAGGGTCGTTTTGACGTCGTAGTCGTAGTGACGATGATTATCAGAAATTAGTAGGTTGCTTTAGTATGGCGGAAAATAGGGTTCAGTCGTTAGGAAAAGCAACTACTACAACAACCCAGAAACGCATTTTACAGTTCTTCAAAAACATTGATAGGTCTTTCGTTGAATTATATAATGTGGAAATATTTTCTAGTTCAACCACAATTGTTTAATAATATAACTGTGACGTTACAAATTCTAGACGATACTAAACACTCGATCCAGTATAACAACAGTGTTAAGTTGAATATATTTTGGCCGGTGTAAATTATATAACAGAAGCAATTAAGTTGAGCTGGATTTTCACGTCACAAGTCCATCTACAAGTAAAAATTATATTGGAACGAACAAGAACTCGGGCCTAATTTGGCAGGCAATAAAACATACCTTCTATTAGCAGAGAAAACAATTTTTATTCCCGCTAAGTCTTTTAGATTCTGAAGTAGTAAGTAAAATTGACTGGGATGCTGAACTTTCAATTAATTTGCTAGAATTAGGAATACTGCAAATTCTTCGGTTCATTTATATATTTTACGATTTATCAATGAATGTATATACATTTGTATGTAATTTAGTTTCCTCAAAGTCACCGCTGGCGCCTTTGAAAACGACATCACTTCCTCTTCTGGAATTATGTGTTGCTTTACTTCTGGTGAAGGGTTCTCTGGAGAGATTCAAAAATTTCCCTTAAATCTTGGATGGCGAGACGTTAAATCTGGCAGATTAATCTCTGGTTGGTTGTAATCAAAAGAATTAATTTTAAATTCAGATTAGTTTCGCAGCCCAAATTTCTTATTGGATTCTTATTCTCCTGTACTGTTGAACTAATTGTAAAGTTCCACCATAAATTCAGATAAGATCAGGTGCTTTGAAGTGTCAAGAATTGAAACTTTTCTTAATAAAAACCTATAAATGACTTCAGCAAGAAAGTATTCCATAGGAAGTTTAATATTTAATAAATAAAGATATTATTGAAGTCGCAGTGATCTGAATTTTCAAAGGAAGCAGGCTTAAATGCTTAAATCCATTTCTTGATGAGGCAGATTTAATGAGATTCAATGGTCGATTGTCAAATTCACAGTAGTACAGTGTAGTAAAACGAAATATTTCAAATTGTTTTGCCTAGAAACATTCAAGTTAATAAGTTGCTTAACAGAATGGATAAACATAAAGTTGTTGTTAAGGTATTGGCCAATCCATGAGGTAAAAATTACTTCTAAAAATTGCAAAATATGTCACCGACTATCAGAGCAAATTATGACTTCGTTAACATTAAGTAGATAATCAATTTCGAGACCATTTTTGAAAATTGCATTACAGTTTGACTGTCCCTTGCTTGTTAAACAACCAGGAATAAATAAATCAATCACAACAAAGACACTATTTGGGTGTATGGAAACAAATGCTATTCACATTGAGCTTGTTTCAAGGTTATCAACAGAAACATTTTCATTTGCACTATGGACATTTATCGATAGGCGAGTCAATCAACCATCTATTTCTCGTGAAAACGCTACCAATTTTCAAGTGCAAATAATCTACTGAAAAACTTTTATAACAATATAGACAAAATCAAAGAAAACAAAAAAAATCAATGGTGCTTTATTCCTCTAGATAGGTTATGGGAAACTGGGATAAAGTCAACCAAATTTCATCTTCCATAGGCAATTGGTTATACATGTTTAACGTTTGATTACAGTCTTAGCACAAATAGAAGCTATACTCAATTTTAGGGCTCTATATCCAGTTTCAACTATTATTTTAGATTCCACATGTTTGACACTTTTTAATACGTGATGCAGTTACTAATTACCCAGAAAAAGATGTATCTAACATACCTGAAAATAGAGAGTTTTTAGCATTAATATTGGTCATTTGAATAAGTTGCAAAACCGCCCAAAATCGTTTAGTCCCAGAAATGAGAATGTTGTATTAAAAGAGGATAACAAACCCCTCTTCGCGCTATCTTTAACTGAAAAGCTTAAAAAATTTGCTCTGTGGCGGGTAATTTTAGTTTACACAATTTTTGGTTCTACTACAGGTTGTCGAAAATGAAGAATTTTCAAAAATACGGTTTGTCGTATGTCAATTAAAATGTATTTTTTGAAAAAACCTCGCAGACGTGTTATTTACAAATCGTCCTGTTGGCTTTTTCATAGAAGGTTCAGTTAAGTTCTGAAGAAGCCAACAGGATGATTGGCGAAACGTCAGGAAATTGGATTCATTAACTGACGCAGGAGGAATCCAGAAGATTTGTAAAAGGTATTACAGTAGCCTGTGGGGGTTTCTTTGGAAAATTAACTTTGAGAGGTGAGCAAATAACATGGGGAAAGGTTCACTTAAGGTATTAGACGGATAAAGCAGCCTTATCGATGCAGATGGAATGAAATACAGATGGGCGATTGCCTATGGAATCTTCTATGAAATGGTTGTGCCGATTTCTAAAATAAATTTCCGCCACTTTTGAAGTCTATGTGTTATAAATTTATTTTTGCTTATATTCGTTTTACCAGTAAGAGTTACGAAATAAGATCTAACTAAGATTTATTGGCGTTGCTAATTCTGCTTTTTGGGCGTAGAGCCTATTTCGATTTTAAACTACTTTAACTGGAACAATATGCAGAATTGTTTTGGTTTAAGTTTTTGTGTGTTTTCTAACTTAGTATTTTATATGTGTATGCTCAGATAGTCTTTAAATTGCTCTAATTTCGCTTGAATAGTGAAATCACTGAACAAAAGAAATTTAGGGGTGAAAGTACACAAGACCAACATATTTCCAACAGGTTGATTGATTGCGAGATTTAAGTGTTCACCTGCTCTGATCTGGTACCTAACATGGTCATAGAAAAATTGAGAACAAGAAAGATCTAGCAAGTAATGCAGTGTGCAAAATTAAATATTTTTCTTGACTAACCGTGAATGAAAAAAAAAGCGAATGTTGGTCGTCCTGTTAAGTCGAAATAACGTAAAAACCTTTATATTCGGTATTTCGAAACATTACTGTGCTCCGTTTTATTTAGATTTTACAATCTTTTCCTTTCTCTAACTAAAAATTGTACTTCCCGGTTTTCCACATTTTCGAGTCGAAAAGGTTCGCATAAAAACTAGGAGATTAGGATTCATGTCTTTACACAATGTTTAACGCGTTTTAACTTAAATATTTTCCAAGTATCATGTAATAACAAAGAAAGCTGTACATCTTTTCTGGATATTGCCTTATAACAACCTTTTTAAGTAAGGTTATCATAATTTACACTGCCGAAATGTTTATATAGAGAACAAATATTATTTTTTTCAGCATATATCAAATGGAAAAATGTAAGAACTTTGGTAGAAAAGCAACTTACACTGAGGAAAATCCACATACCCATATTCCCGCAAAACTAGTCAGGAAATAAGCTAACCCTTACATTTACAGCAATTTCTGTTTGTCAATTTTAATGGCTATAGTACACCTCACTAAGTTTATTCAACATACCAAAACAAAACTCGTGACTGACGCGACTCTTCGTCAATTTTATTGAATAAAATATTGTTTGATTTTTTTGTTTATTACCAATTAGTGGCGTATAAGAAATGTACAATGCATCTCCAATTCTTTTCCTCCAAAAGTTATCTGATTAAAAATATACATTTCTAACTCAGTTATCATCGGGCTATGTTATGTTTGTATCAGCAACTATGTTGAACAAAGCCGCCCTTGCTAATTGTCACATGCCATTGTCATTGTTATTATTATCAATAATATCGCATTGCGCTTCATCAGCACTTTATCGCAATCCATACTCTAATTTTCCAAAATTTTTATTTTTAACAGCATTCGTTACGGAAAAATTTATAATATCACCCAATTTAAGTTTCGTATTTTGCAAATTTTAGATATATTATGAAGTCATTAAGTTTATTTATATATGTGCATACTAATTGAAGGACCTATAAAAAACGCTTCGTTTGGACTAAAAGCTCGTAGAACTTACTGAAACATAATGATGTTCAGAGCTGCAAGCTTACTGCTGTTTTTAGTGATTGCATTGCTTTGCTGCAAAAACGCAGTTTTTGCTGAAGAATGTGTTCGACACGCTAACGAGTGAGTTTTTGCTTAACCAATGTTTTACATTTAACCTATCCAATTCGAAAATATTTTGTTCAAATTGGATGATTCTGCAAGACTAATAATATATTCGGCGACGTTTTTGTTTGTGAACACAGTAACATATAAATGATTCATTACATAGATATAATAATAACAATATTTATTTTATAACAAAATAACATAGAAAGTATAACAAAATTTACCTTATGGTTGCAAAAAAGGAGTTGAAAACAATTACAAAGAGGTAAAAAAATTTAATGGCATTCATTACCGAAAAATATATGAATTCAGCCAATTTACGTTTCGAATGTTGCAAATTTTAGGTATATTAAGGTTAATTATATATGTGCATACTAATTGAAGGGCCTATAAAAAAATGTTTCGTTGGCACTAAAAGCTCGAACTTACTGCATCATTACTTGTTATAAAACTTCTGGATTCCTTCTGCGTCGGTTTTTGTTGAGTCGAACTAGCTAAACTGTTCAGTCAAGCTCTGAAGAAGCCAATATGATGATTGGCCAAACGTTAGCTAGTTCGACAACAGACGCAGGAGGAATCTAGAAGTTTTATAAAAAAATGTATTACAGTAGCCTGTGGAAGTTTCTTGGAAAAAAAAAGAATCATAATGATGTTCGTAGCTGCTAGCTTGCTGCTGTTTTTAGTGATGCAAAAACGCAGTTTTTGCTGAAGAATGTATTCGACACGCTAATGAGTGAGTTTTCGCTTAAGCAATAAAAGTAGAAAACAAACAACAAATCCCGCTCTGCGCAAAGTCGCCTACTACACACAATCGTACTTGAGAAGGTACTTTTTATAGAGACGTGTAACAAAGTTTTATCTTAAGCATTTTAATTTTTCCGGAACTCTACTCTACATCTTATAGACGTTATAAGATGTACGATGTAAGTTGCTGTTTTTTAAGGATACTTGGTTTGGTATTTAGGAAATTCAGACCGATTCTGTTTCTACACTGTTTCGACCGCAGTTAATAAATTGCTATAAATTGCTAATGACGTTGCTTGCGAACTTTTAGTTCTTTATCATCAAGGATTACTATGATCCCTTATGTATCGATTTTCCCACTACATTTTTCCTCCAACAAATGATTTTCAACGAAAATGTTCAAATAAACATTTACACTCATTGATATTACGAGTAGATTGTCATTTTAATTGCATATTTGCTTTTCCTTGAATTTGTTGGAAATAGCTTGCGAATACTAATTTGTCTTGGTGTGTTTGGTCTTGTATAGGTCGATACGTCAACTAATTAAAATTGTTTCAGAGTCTAATTTTGCTCCATATTTTAATTATGGATGTAAAAAATTAAACGCTGGTTCCGGAAGTAATTATTAATTAACAGTTTAGATCTTTTATGTATGATGATTTTAACGTCTAAGACGTTTTATCACTTGCCGTTTTAAACATATGAATAATTTAAATTATTTTCAATTTCAGCTTGGCAAAATATTTGCGAGATTCTTAGGTGTTCAACATTCCAAGCAATGATATAACCGAATATTTTTCCATCACATTTGCTGTATCTTCGAATCACTATGTGCAAAAATATTTCTGGTATTTCAACATTCTTGACTTTTTTTTCAGTGCCGCCTTGGATTCCAATCTAAGCGAGGATCTCCGCTCAGGTGGAGGAAAATAATGGTGTTTTATTTTCCAATCCAGGACATTTGGAAACGCTAAGTCCATTTAAAATGTGAAATAAAAAATTATTTCGAAATTTTTGTTTTCATTATGTAATATCCTGAAAACTTAATGTTTTCAGGCATCTGCTTACTTACTGGCAACTTTATCCCAAGAGACGATTAACCCAATGTGAGTCTTAAATTTTACAGCAAAAATACAACATTCTTCAAGAAACTTACTTTTGAGGAACCTGTGTCAATACAACTTGATTTCAACCATTTTCATTACTGGAAAATTTATGATATCAACCAGGTTGCATATAATATGTGCATATTAATTGAAGAACCTATAAAATTTGGACTAAAAGGTCGTAGAACTTACTGAAACATACAGATGTTCAGAGCCGGAAATCTACTGCTGCGAAAAGGTAGTTTTTGCTGCAGACAAAAGTCGATAAGATAACGAGTGAATTTTGTCTTAATCAATATTAATTTTTCTACTCCCTTCTCTAAAATACAAAATTATACACCCATCTGGTGTGCGGAAAGTGTATTTTTCCCTGTCAGTTTCGTTTCGCACGGCTCACACACTTCGCACATCTCCGGGTCATTACCGCTCTGGTTTAGAGGCTATTGGAATATTTTCGGAGATATTTCCCTCTGCTTCAGTTTTCATATTTTTCTGACGGTCATGTCAGTGGATATACTTTCGCAAAACAACACGAATACATTCACTGACATGACCGTCAGAATTGACAGACGTCAAGACTCAAAGCCTGGGAAATATCTCCGAAAACATCCGATTGCTTCCAAACCCGTTCGGTAAAATCCCCGAAGTGTCCGAAGTGGCTCGGATCCGTGGGAAACGAAACTGACGTGGTACAGTGTCACTTCCCGCACACTAGATCGGTGTGTAATTGGGTATTTTACAGACGGGAGTAGAAAATAGTCTATTATGCAACAAGTGCGGTAAACGGCATATGACTCACGAGTTTATTTGACACGAGCGGAGACAGTATTTAATAAACGAGTGACTGAAAGAGTTTACCGAACGTTCATACTATACTTTTTCTATGACTGTTAGTTTTTGGGTACATTTTTGAAAAACAACACGAATAGATTCACTGACATCGCAGTCAGAATTGGCAAATGTCAAATTCAAAGCGTGCGGTAAAATCCCGGAAATGTCAGACTCGGATCCGTGGGAAACAAAACTGACGTGGTAAAGTGACGCTTCCCGCACGCTAGATCGGTGTGTAATTAGGTGTTTTACAGAAGGGAGTAGAAAAAGGATTTTGACAAATATAGAAAGTGCTTTTAAATGGGAAAGGTAAGGGGGAGAGGTTTGGGAAATGTGTATCAGACCATCTTCCTCTATCAATAACTTCGTAATCGTGCTCAAAACAATAAAACTGTTTCAACAAAAACACACACTGTTGAATAGAAAACATGACTCGAACGTTGTACCATTTCACTCTAGAATAACTGTTTTCGAGGCTGCTAGGCGACTTATGCTCACCCCAATATTTCCATGAAGATCACAGCTTTATAACAGGATAGTGGAATTGTGCTTAAACGACGATCAAAATAGTCAACTTTCTAATATTTTGTTAGTTAAACAGCATCAAGTACCAATCATTTTTTAGAAATTTCTGCGAAGTCTCCGAAATGGACTAAACTTCTGATTGGATATAGAAATAGAAATACAGATGATTATGAATCAATTACCATTTAATTATTCGTATGACAGTAATGTCTGCCTTGAACAACTAAGTATTTCTTTACCCAATGCATTTTCGTTTAAAGACGCAATATTAGAAGCTGAATCCTATCGTTATTGTAAATTAAAAAAAAAAGCCGAAATTCAAAATTGGTTGCCCGAAAAAAAAATCCTTGACGACTCCTTCTTGAACTCTGAGCTGCCGGACGTGATCTTCAAAAATATCTATGACAAATATAAAATTGAAGAAATAGTTTCCCACCGCATCACTGTCAGCTTAACCCATTCGAGAAGGAATAAAATCAAGCAAAGCGATATGTGGCAATGAACAACTCCAATTTGAAGTAATTATGTTCAATATATCATAGAAAAGACCGTCCGCTAGTAATCTGCAAGGCAACGCAGATGAACTGATTATTAGTGTAAATTCTGCCTATAGTATAATTGTTTTAACAGGAATTAGGGAAATATTTTTCCCAGATCGTGTTGAAGGTAACGGGATGCCACAACACTTCACCTTTTCTACAAGATAACAATCTCATTATGGTAGAAAGAAATAGAGAAATGGCCCTCAGTCTCGGGCAGACCTTAAATGGTCAGAGGGTGGGAAGAATCTCCCGGTGCCGATTGAATGTTATCCGTAGAATTTCATCATGGAACAACAGTTTATACGAACCAGAAAAAGTTTACAACCTTATTGAAGAATTCAGACGTTTAAAACTAAGTGTGAGGGGCGTAAGTGACGTTGTATGGACTTGCTTTTATCGTGTTACAAAGGACATCTCAATATACTACTCCTGCAGTGACCAGTCGGATAAACATAATAGATATGGAGTTGCCATTGCACTTGATAGTAGCTTGAATGGATCGATTTAGAATTTTGTCGCAAATTTGGAAGGAGTAATGATTACACTGACTGGAAAACTACTGAACGTGAATTTTATACAGGTTTATGCACCCACATCAGATAAATCTGAGTGTGTTCGAAAAGTCATGGAACAAGGAACCGCGTTAAACTTATTTTTCTAACTTTTCTGGGTTTAGGAATGTATTAATTATTTGCCTACATTATTCATCTTTTAGGTTCGAGAGTCTCTAATACTGGGTGCTGTTTTAGCCGCACTAAATTTTAAGGTTTAAAGTTAACAGTAAAGTTGAGAAATTAAAGCGTAATTAAAAAACTTTATTGAACATTTGCTATGGTTTCGAGCAACCTGCACAATGTTGTCGGTTTGGTTATTATTCATGGTATTGTCTTACGGTACGACATCTATGTTCCGTTTCGCAGAGCTCCTTAAATGAGAGGTAGACCTGGCGTTAAAAATTATTTGAAATTACGAAGTCACTTTAATTATCGCAGTCTTGAATGCCAAGGTGGGCAGAGGCAGGCATAGTGACATTGTAGGAAACTTCGGCATGGGATTTAGGACCGAAAGAGGCGACTTATTAATCAGGTTTTGTCAGGAAGAGAACTTGTTATATCTAATACATGATTCCAGCTCCCTCCTCGACACTTATACACTTGAAGAGCACCTGGGCATAATCCAAGTCGAATAATTAGAAATCAGATTGACTTTGTTATCGCAAACAAACGATTTCGCAACTACATAAAAGGAGCGCTGCTTATCCGGGTGCCGGTATCTCGTCCGATCATAGTCCGCGCATAGCTAAACTTAAGTTAGTGAAGATTCAACATTAGTCTAAAAAAATATCGCTAGACACAAGAGAGCTAACGAGAGATACCAAGAATAGAAACATGTACTCTAAGTATATAAATGACAGATTGAGAAACACCTTTGCCACGGTCCAAAGCGATGAGGTAATTGCGAATGCAAATATTATTGAATGCATTGTGCATGGTATTAAAACAATTGTAGATATAAACAGATCAGAAAGCATAAGAAGCAGGAGTGGACGACTAGCGAGATTGTGCATTTGATGCAAGTCCGGAGGCAATATAAGATCCGATTAGATCAACGTATATATACCCAAATTAGAAGAGCAAAAGAATAATGAACATTATTTATATTATATAAGAAAGTCAAAGAAATATGACACGTATCTCGGAAACAGTATAACATCGGAAAAAGGGCTGTCGCGAATATGCCTTCAATCTTTTTAAAGAAGATAAATCACCTTAACCAATTTGTAAGCTCCCAACCGATAGCCTATCTGACACGCCTATATGGAAAGATGAGGTCGCCTATACACTTAAAACTGCAGAAATTGCTCCATAATGCTACTATTGATGATAAAGATATTGAGATAATCCAAAATCTGTATTGGAATAAGACTGGAGTCCGTTTAGTACGCTGTTACAGAGGAGTTTGAAATACTCAAGAGCGTTCACCAGGGATACAGGCTGTAACCCATATTGGTTAACTTGTAAGTAAATGGCATTTCAATTAATAAACTGCGCTATGCTGATGACACTGTCATATTTGCTGATAACAGAGAAGGTCTACAAATGATGCTGACCAAAATAGACAGTTTGGGAACAACTAGAGGCTTGAATATAAACATCTCGAAAACCAAACATATGATTATTAATAGGTAGTCAGCAAAGAAATCAACCAATACATTAATAACGAATCCATAGAGCAGGTTAAATCATTTTAATATCTTGGAACTGCTCTAAACGATGCATGGGATGCAGAACAAGAAATAAATTGCCGAATCCAACAGTTAGGACAAGTAGTTATTTAGTTCAAACCCTTCCTCTGTAATCAGTCACTTTCGTTTAAGATCCGTTATGACATGGTGAAGTGTTATGTATGGCATGGAAAACTGTATCTTAAAAAATCTTCGATCAATAGGCTAGAGGCATTCGAAGTGTGGTCATTAAGGAGAATGCTCCAAATTTTATAGGTGGACTGTTTTCGCAATGAGGAAGCTCTCAGAAAAGTTGGCGTACAGAGAGAGCTTTTTGAAGTAATTAAAAAACATAAGAGATGGTACAAAACTGCAAGTAAGAGTATTATTAAATTTAGGGCCACAAACAAATTTTATTACTGTGTATTTATTTAAAATATTTAATTTAAATTTGTATTATTAAACGATACAAATTGGCGGAAATGGAAATAATATTACCCAAGTAAATGGTTGTAATAATAGAGTTAGCACATCTTGCTATGGACTGGAAAAGATCACTACTCAATTACCTCATGTGTTAATAGACACTACAAAAATTGTCATTCCAAATCATATTCAACTAGCAGATTAGTTTTATTTCCGAGCAGTCCAAATGACATGCTTATTGCAGCAGATTTGTATTTAGATTGGATTTTGTCAGGGCTTATAAAATTGGGGAGAGGTGTCCCGGTTTTGCAAAATACCAAGGTCGGTTAGTTTACGCTTGTGCTCCAACAACGTGCA